TTTTAGGAACTCAAAGGTTGATCAGAACCTACTTCTGAGCCCAATCCTGAGTCAGATGAATCCAATCCACATCCTCACAACCTGCTTCTTTAAAAAACGTTTTATATTACTCTAGCATCTATTTCTAGGTTTCTGAAAGTGTTCATTCATACAAACAATTTTATTTTTAACTTTATTTAATACATTTATAATCATTTTAAATGATAATAACCTGAACGCTGAGAGTGGTGACATCATGTACGTACGCCCAAACTTAAACAAGTATGATAATCTACATGTTTATAATCACCTTCAACATCTTAAGATAGACATGTCTATAGACAAGAGCTATTTAGCAGCTACATAAATTACACAATATGCAATTGTCAAACACCAAAACTGCTACAAACACAAATAATTCATGGATATGAACATGTCATGTCCAAAAGTATCAACATCATTTATTTATTTATTTATTTAGTGTTCTGTCTGACGACAGGTCCATATGAACAGGATCCTTCCATCCTTTTCTCGGACTGGGACCTGTTCATATACGTTCTTGGCAGATGATCCAGAAGTGCTTTGCCATTGCCTTCTTCTGTGTGTAAATGGAGTAATTGTTGGGATGCCACGGAGAAACCGGGGAAGCCCCCGGAGGAAAACTCCGTGTTGCCTAGACCACGGCCTTGCCCAACACAAGTTATAAATTCGGGCACCGCCGGGAATCGAACCAGAGACCCCAGGATTACAAGGCCAGCGTTCTAACCGCAATAACACTTTATCAAATTACAATTTCCACAGCGAGAACCTGAAATCTAACGCTCAGTCTCTGTTGTTTCTTTCAGAACATTCTATTCTGATGATAGGAAATTTTAATGATTTCGTTTCACGTGTATTTGCCATTGCCTGCTGAAAGGGATTATCTTAATATCAATCAAAACAGCGTTAACCTGTCGCAGTTCTTGTGATATGTGCTGCAACTCTGTCGGTAGTCCTCACCTTGACAGCCTCTTGCACTTCGCCGCCCCAAGCTGGTCGTTTCCCCGCCACGATGATAAACTTGGTCCATTTGAAGTACAGCAGCAACGCTACTACGGACTTTGAAACTTTCGAGGACGGTGGCAGGGTGCGAGCAAACGTATAGTACACCCTCTTGTCGGACACGTGGATGTCCGCACACTTCTGCAACAGTCAGACCATACACCGTCAGGTCACCACAGCTTGGGGAGAATGGGAGGACACTCGTGTACTGTTGCTAGCTTTATGTAAATCGGCGAGCAGAACATCCAGCTTTAATTACATTTCTAGATGCTACAACTCTATCAGACACAGTCCAGTCGACGGTAGCTCAGCTAGTCAATAAATTACCTGCATTTTATAGACCCCGATAGTTAAACACACCCTCGCATTCTGTTACTCTAACATACATTTTAAATTTTAATTATCGTCCTATCTACGCCTACATTTTGTAAGTGGCGTCCTCCGTTCACAGTTAATGACTAAAACTGTGCATACTAATGCATTTTCTACCTCATCCTCCTTGATATGATCACCTCCTTCTTAGATGCAACCTTTTCTCGAACACTCCCAATCTATGTTTTCCGTAGCGATGACAGACCAAATTCCAACCTCAAATGCGTGACAGAGAAATTGTATCTCACAAAATCCCCACGACGATTATTAAACATTTTAAAACGAAACATGGTGTAATAATCTGAACATATTTCGAAACGATGTTCTTATTCCTGTGATCCAGCCTTAAAACATCGAAGACGACTGCGTCGTTACAGAGTCGTGAACCCAAAATGTTCTCGCCTGAACGCTCTCACGACGTTAAAATCGAAGTCTCCAGAGAGATTCCGGCTCGGCTCAATACGTCCTCGCGCTAATCCTAACAGCGTCCAGACGGCACGCCGCGTGCAGAGTGTCTCTCTTCTCTTGAGCTTAAATTTACTGCACAAGTAGAGCAAAATATCTTAGTGTCAACGTTTTGCATATGGAGTTCATCTATACTTCATTCATACTCAGCTGCTTTTATCACTTGTTCCTCTAGATCGGCCAGTAAACCTTCACCACGAGGTCACCAGATCGCCAACAAATGTCAGCTTCAGGCACGGATTTCTCAGCGCGCTGTCAAACACATTTTGAGCACAGGACTCAAGTATTAACCGTCATCTATACCTTGGTCTACTAAGTGATACCTTCCCTACATGTCTTTAGGCTCAAATTTGTATGAATTTCTCGTCTGCCAATGCGTGCTACATACACTGTCCATCGCATAATTCTCTGTTTCCTCACTCAAAAGATAAGGTGAAGACTACAAATGATGAAGCTTTCCTGTTACTTACGTTCTCTTAGATCCAAATATATCCTCGGTACTCTGTTATCAAGTATCCTCAACCTATATGCCACATCACGGCAAGAGATCCACATTCATACAAAACAGCTGGTAAAAAGTAATAAATTAATACACGCGTACACAAATATATTTACATTTATGTGGTATAGAAAACTTAGTTTATTATGTGATTATACCCTTTCATCGCGAAGTAAACAAGCATTTTTCAGTCCACATAAGGGAGCCTCCATGCAGCAACACAGACTTCGACAATGCCATCGAAACAAACATACGCACGCTCCCTCTCTCTCGGATTAATCAAATGCTTAATCCCATCAACCAAGAAGAGGATGAGACGGTTGCTTCCACCTCTCCTGTTATGTGTGAAATTCCGAAATAAACAACTAATGGAGAGTAGAGATCCTACAGAAACATGAATAACATTATTCTGATTGCACATGGGGCTGAGACGTCGTATGATAGGCTACCCTCATTACCAAGAAGCTTAGCCACACGTGGATAACGAGGAAAACCGTTACTCGTGCTATGACTCTGATTTGCGGTTAGTTTCATTTTAAAAATATGCTTATGAGATCACTATGTTGTCTTTGTGTATCCGTTTTTCACTTTTAAACCAAATGAACGATTTTCACGAAACTTTGTATCAGCAGTGTGCCACTGGAGGTTAGTTTGCCCTCATAAATTTAATTTTTGTAACAAGTAATAATAACAATATAGCGGACAAATGAACTTGTGACGAGAGAGAAAAACTGACGTCACATAATTTAGAACAGCGGTATTCAACCTAGGGTACGCGAATACATCTTAGGGGGTACGTGAAATTTAAAAAAAAAAAAAATTATGATAAACACTAAATAATCAGTAATGTAATTTGTTTAATTTATTTTAAATGTAGATTATATACTATGTATAACTTGAATTATACACCAACAACTTTGGGGGTACAAAGTTAAAGAGAAATTATATCTGGGGGGTACGCGAACAAAAAAGGTTGAATACCACTGGTCTAGAACACTGAACGTACGTATGGTACCAGATCTTCGAAAAGTAAACAACGTTTTAGGGAATCTTCTTGTAGAATTTAATAAAACAACACAATGATCATGCAAAGACGACAATTTACGTTCACGAATAATTAATTAACCATTCCTTAAATCGCATTAAAGACTTTATCTTTTGGTGAAGTATTGTGGTACGAGCTGAATTCTCAACTACATGAGCTTCAGCTTCAAAGGGGTAAGTATATATCCTGTGACTCTTTCCTGGAACGAGTCAAATACTATCCAATCATTTCCCCCCCCCCCACACACACACACACTGATAAGACGTGGCAAGTTGAGCCAGTGACACCAGAAATAAGAACATCGAACAAGTGTATAAATCGTATTGACATCGTAATCGGGATGCTGCTTCAAAATACCGACGATGCTAGGCTCGCAATGCCAAGGATCAAGAAGCGAAGGATATACGAAATATCACGTACGCCTGTCTCCTACGTTTTGTCGCCACGTGCTAAACGGATTTCGATACGATTTCGTACTGCAGACACACTCCAAAACGCATCAGCGGATAGCATTCCAGCACGGACGTATCCAATATACAGACTGAGTGTGTTTACAACAGAATATGGAACTGACAGGTAATGGGGAAAATTACATAATGAGAGGCTTCATATTTCTATTCTTTACATAACAAGGTTAGAGTTATCATCGAGGAAAATAAATTGGCGGGAACAAGGAGACAAAAACTCGTACAAAATTTTAATCAAAAACCAGAAGGAAAAATACCCGTTGGGAGACGTAGATAGGATATTATTATAATAGGTCATGAAGAAACAAGACTAGTCTACCACTAACAGCTTTTGTGAACACAATAATGAACCTTCCGGTTCCATAAAGAGTGAAAAATTTCTTGACCAGCTGAGCGACCAATAGCTTCTCAACAAAGACTGTGCTCCATGCACTTAGGACCACATTTACAAGGACGCGAGACAGGTTGCTGCTTTTATAGTTTTTATACATGGGCATAAATGTAGGAAATCCGGGTAAACAAAATTCGGACAGCCTATGACGCTGCTACGACAGAAACCGCAACCAAATAATCAACTCAATGTTCACGCGCCTCCTTCTGTGACTGAGGTCTATTCACAGAATACCGCCATTAGACACAATCATTATATAACGCACGTCTCTGTACAAAATTCTCATAACTAACTCCATTGTGTGGAGCGTTTCTTCAGAAGGTAACAGAAACTCAGCTAGTCAAGATATTCCCCACCTTTTATTTAACCTAAAGGTTAATTACCGTATTCACAAGAGCCCATCGCCGGCATCTGTCCTGGCACAGATAAATCCACTCCACATCCCGATACCATATTTCGTTCAAATCCATTTTAATATTATCATCCCATCTATAACTATATTTCTGTTGTAGTCGATTTTCAGATTTTCCAATCAAAATGTGCGTGAATTTCATACCTCTTCCATGTATCTAAGATCCATTTTAATACAAATTTCCAAAACAAATATTCGATTGAAAAAATAATCATTTGACATTAAGTTTGAAAAGATAGTCAATGCAAGTCAATAAAAATGTAAAGCTGTCCCACTATACGCCATGTAGGCGCTGGGGGGTGGGGGAGCGTACAAGGATCGAACCCCAGTCATCCAGTCAGTAGTCAGTCACTATAATGACTGAGTTACCTCGGTCCCAATAGGGAATTAAAAAAAATTATTTTTCCTTTTTCCATATTCAGAATCGAAGCTTCGCTCACATCCCACAGCTCACTACAATGAGATATTGTATCAAGGTCACTCATGTCTTGTCTCGTTTTAAAATGTACGGTGCAGCTCGCGAGGCAAAATTGCCTTGCGTGACTTTGAACCACGAAGATGAAAGGAGCGTAATCACTTACTTATTATGTAAGTGAACCGCCTGCAAACTTTGACGCAAAGGCTAATTTGGAAAGTTCTGTTTTGTTCTCTCGCATCGCGGGAGAGTGTTTTGAGGTCAGGGCGTTGATAATATTTGGATACAAGAGAGACGAGGTGACACGTGACTGCAGAAAAATGCTTAATAAAGAGCTTCGTAATTCGTTATCTTTGCAAAGTATTAGTATAATCAAAACAAGTGGGACGAGAAGCTCGGGGCACGTAACACACGTGGCACATACATTTTAATCTCTAGATCGGAGTAGAAGAGAAAATTTCGAAGACAATTTCGACATAGAAGGATAATATTAAAGCGTATCTTAAAGAAATAGAGTGTAAGAGTCTGATTCAATTCTAAAGGGTTTTGACGACGGTAGTTTACACTTAAAATTATTCATTAGCAGGACTTTTTCCATCGTCTGTTCTTTAAAACCACGACGTTTCGGAGGCTGGTTCTGTCTCCGTCTTCAGGCGAGAGGTACCTACTCTGTTGGGTCCCTTATATAGATCTAGTCTCTGTCACTAGTGACAGAACCAGCCTCCGAAACGTCGTGGTTTTAAACAACAGACGATGGAAAAAGTCCTGATAATGAACAAATTTAAGTGTAAGGGTCTAGTCCAGTCGTCAGCTATCTGGCTCCATAAAAGAGGAATTTCTTCTTTAGGCGAATGACTGTCAGCTTCCCAAGCATGATCTGGTCCATGTCAGTGGCAAGATTTATGTCAAAATTAAATTTGGCCAGGATCTCTACGGGTGTTTGTAAATGTTAAAAACTGTGGTTTTACTTTATGAAGTTGTCGTTCAACAGTTACGCTCAGAGGATGATCACATACCGCGAGCTTCAAAAGGCGGGAGAGAAAGCGATCGTGGCCTATTTCAGGGCAAAAACCGTTGTAACTTATATCCCTGGACGAACAGATGGTGTACACAGGCAACCACACGCAGCAGGCTTCAACTAGTTACATGGTTTTACCACTTCTCTCGCTGGAATTATGAGAATTTTAGAAAGGTATGATCGTAGCGTATTTTAATATACTGCGCCAGAAATCTTTTAGGAACTGTTACATGTGACGAATTCCATATAGTCTGGTTTATGTCTCGTGAAACTGGCCTCATATTGAAATATAATCTAGGCTACCATGCAAAGCGTCTGCATTATCAGAATAACAAGTTCACAGTTAATAATTTCTTTGTTATTAAAAGAGTTTATTAGTGCGGTTTTTAAATCTTATTGTCATATTCGCCTACCCCCAACTTTTTTTAACTCTCGGAGACACTGGAAGACCCATTCCTCGCTATCAGTCTATTATATCTCCCCAGAAAGTCTGGTTATTCCCAGTGAACGTGCTAAAAGTTCTGAGAAAACCTCTTTCATGTCTCCACGTTTTCATAAACAAACAAAATACTTCTTGCAACTACGAAATAAACTGTTAAAATAAAACTTCTGAATCACGTAGCCACGTGCGGAATCGCATTGTTTTAAGCTGCTGCACAAAACCAGCGCTGATATTTGTCAGACTTTGACTTCGTGGTTTTATAATATCGAGTTTGAAGGCAGACTAAAGTGAGATTTACTGGCGCCCTGCTGGCAAGGTGGCAAGGTGGCAAGGTTAGGAAGACTCTAGCAGGGTTACAGACTCGAGTAAACAAGATTAACCAGTCGTCACTTCCAATACTCTGCCGTGCCGTACAGCGCCACAAAAACATGCTGTGACGCGGTCATCAAGTCTGGTATCCTCCCCCACTTAAACGCACGGCTTTGCAGAATGAAACAACGCGATCCCCAACTTCGGGACACTGAACTGCATACTTAAGTAAGACGGAAAATTTCCTTCGGTTTCGTCTATTAATCTATGGACAAATTCCAATAGCAGTGACCTCACTTGTTTATTTGTGGTTTATTTAAAGACATCGTTAGAAGCTCAGACTTGTACAGCGCTTTATGAGAGGAAAACTAGTCTCTGAAGACACGTCCAAACAACATTTATAAATTCACTTCCTACCTCAAAGAAAACATGTCTCCATAACAAACATCTACTGGTTATATGCTGAAGATTTCGCCCTGATGACGGAGGCAGTATGACCTCTGAAACGTTGGTTAACATCGACCAGACTACACAGCGCAACAACCCAGAAGACAGAAATCTTCATATTTTTAATCGCCCTGATGACGGAGGCAGTATGACCTCTGAAACGTTGGTAAACATCGACCAGACTACACAGCGCAACAACCCAGAAGACAGAAATCTTCATACTCAATGCTGTGGAAACCACAAATCTTACATGGTTATATGCTGTTCAATGAAATTATTGCCGTTTACTAAAATGTCCCAACTACTAATTGTTCTAGCGTGAACTAGCCATTGTTTTATATTCTAAATGAAAAATGTGGCGAAACAGAAAACTTTACAAAATTTCATAACCCCGTACGAAATGGCGCTAGTGTGGTTCTAAAATCAGAAGTTCACTCGGACTTCGTCTTGATTATCATAATAAGTTTCATGATAATTCATCAATTGGTACAACAATTTCCAGGATAAACACACACACACACACGAAAAAATGTCTACTCTAGAAAGCAGGATACATATCAACAGTTGATCATAAACACTGGTTCAGAAAATAAAGTAAAGCTCTTCTGGTAGAAACAATGATAAAACGGTCTTCGCCTAAAGGTAGCGGCAACTTCTCCAGCTCCCGTGTATTGCACCTTCACCTAACTAAAAGTCAGCAGGCGTTATAAAGACAGTCCACACAGCGATAAACACCTGAAGACCAACATGGACGATCTCTTCACATTCGTTCTGGGCCTTGAACACTTTCAGTGTGTCCACTGTAAGTCGAGTGTTTGCTTAATAAAATTTCACAGACGGAACGAAACGACACCCTTTTATAAAATACTGCTGCAAAAACTCTTAACGTTAACTGAAGTGAAGAAAAAGGAAAATTGAGAGATGACAAAGACAAAAGACTAGTTAATTTACGAGAACAGCACCGAACTTCACACCGTTGATTTAATAGAAAAATAATTTCAAGGAATCGTCAGCAAGTAGATACAGTCTACAGTAAAAGCATCAAGACTGGAATTATAATTACAATTCGAGGTGCTTTTCGAAGAAAAACCGTCAGTTCCATCACGTCCATCAATCTGTCAGTTAGAAACAGCGTCATAGTTGCTTGAACGATTTTGATCAAACTGAGTATGATAAACCTAACAACTTGTAAAAATCTTCTAAATCCTAAAGATAAGCCTCGTGTTGTGTGATTAATGAAGGATTTTATTATGGAGCTTTTGCCTCGTAATTAAACCTAAGCCTGTATAAATGAGTCGTGTTTAACGTTCGCATAAAACATTTAATGTCTTCAGAAATGTAAGGAAATACAGAACAATCCTGCAAACACGTGGCAGAAATATGGTCGCATTTTTATACGTTCGCGAGTCAACGAACTTCGAGAAGCTTCGGCTTAGATTAAGGAATGAGGCAGAAATTTCAGCAATTTGCTACTGAATGCAAGCAGCAGCTTCTCATTTGCGAGGTGTTTCATTAATCCTTGGCGAAACATGTGTTTGAGGAATGCAAAGAAATAAATATCATTAACGGTGGTATGACGGTAATACCAACAGCACATAGTGTAATATAGCAGCAATAATACAGCGTATGTGTGCCAAGGGTAATTCTGCAGTAATGCTGTTTTTTGAGGCTAGATTCCCATTTGTAATGCACTTCCCGTGTGTAGTTATGTCTACAGAAATATTACCGCTATAAAACGTACCTCCAAATGGCAGCTATACATTATGAGCTATAACACACTCGTAAGCTTTCTCAGTTCCTGCGAGTACGAAGAGCCACTTAGAGGTCACTGTCACTGCAGTTGAACTGGCTTATCTTAAAGGACGTTCCCTCTCCGTACGTGATTCAAATTCTAAAGATTTGAGAATCCAGTTTCGTCTGCCTCGTCGCGAATTTTCGACTCTGCATATATTTTCAGTTCAGACACAGATTTTTTTTTTCTTAGACAGACGCGTTTCTGCATAAACGTAAGTAAATATTTCCGTTTCCGGGAAGACAAAAGATTTTGTATTGCCAGACGCCGTTACAGCTAAAGAGTGCATGCATAACCGTGGGTCGAAGCAGGCATTCCAAGAAGCATAGAAACTCACATATGATATCATGGGGAGGTTCCAAGCGGCAGCCACCAGGGCCTCCGAGCGGCAGGTGTCGTCAGGCCCAATGAAGGCCACCGTGCCGTTGTCTCTCATCTCCGTCATGACTCGAATCGCCAAAGTCGCCAGGGACGATTGACGACTGGGATGAGTGCCGATGTCAGCCGCGAGGTACTGCAGGCGTCGCCCTGAGAACATCACAGACAAATACGTCTGCTCTGAGCTCTGCGCTAATGCAACAAAGCCCTGGTTTAAACACGAAACACCCGACGCAGCGCCGTAGAGATAAGGCTCCTACTTTGTGTCCACTAAGTCCCGGTTTCAAATCCTGGACCGGATATGAGCTATCTTCAAGTCTAATGCAGTACCTTGAAACAGGTGACGAATGTTTATTTCTGCGTCATTTCTGATTCATCGCTAGGGTGTAAGGACCTGGACTATTAAAAAGCAATCACATCGTCTTCTTAAGTAATTCTCTTCTAACGTAGTAAATTATTTATGTTGAAAAAACTCCGGCTCTTAGGTGGTGCAGAACTTTCAATTTAATTTTTGAACAGTAATTCCGTCAGTTCGCCCAGACTAATGCTAAGATGGTACCTTAAACCTGCCACGACCACTTTTTTCATACGCTTCAAAGTTCACCATTCCCCATCAACGAAAAGTAAATTATGGAGCTATTTAAGTGCTTCATTTCGAAACATCCGGTAGTTCGTAATCTCGGTAACAAGAGACAGAATAATCTCGTGTTCCGAGTGGGAATCGAACTGTATACGTCACTGCACGCCTTAGACAGTGTGGCCAGTGTCGTCGGTAATAATTACGGAGAATAAATTTGTTTTGGAAGACAGTGTACCGCTTTAATCATTTGCATTACGTTGAAAGTTTGTAATCCTCGGCTAAAGCCTGGGATAAAATTACAATTCACCTCGGAGAAATTCAGTATGACGTGGGTTGAACTTTGAACACGGTTAGACGTGGAGTTTCATTTTTTCAAACACGAACGTTCGAAATTTGCATTAAAGAGGTGACTGTTTAAGCCCTAAGAAATACTCTCCGAGGTTGAACACGTGCAGAAAAATCCTGGGAGAATCCCCAGGGGGAGCAACAGGGTAAGCTTTCTGAGTGTACACGTAAAACCCACGGGCAAAAAGGCTGAATATCTGAATTACGTAAACATAAATAAAGCACGTGCATTGCAGCATTAACCAGCCCCGAGCCACACGCAATTTAGTTCTGAGGACAACGTTAACGCCGAGGGACGACTTTTATTCCTGTTACCAGCGCAATTTAGTTCTGAGGACAACGTTAAAGCCGAGGGGCGAATTTTATTCCTGTTACCATAAACTGTCAACACGCCTACCTTCCAAACCGCTAAGTACGCCATACACAGGCAAGAGAGTGTTCTCCTTAACGTGGAACCCGCCAGGACAGTATACCGCAGCATGGACAGAACCACCGAGAAATGAGTCACAACGCAAAACATAGCCGTCGCTTGCTAGTGGCTCGGTTCTGAGTTACGTCGTACTCTTTGTGTGTAAATATAAATAATGTTTTGCAGTTGTTTTCTATGGCTGTTAAAAGCAATATGCAATTCAGGACATTAAGTAACGAGGAACTTTGTGATTCATGCAGTCTACAGGGAAGTGAGATGTACAGGCCTACGATAGATTCTGGGATGAGTCAAGGAAACCATACAAAATTTTGATACAGAAACTTAAAAATTTTACAACCACTTCGAAAAAAGTTAAAGAACTGGGGAATAACATTAAAGTTTATATTTAAATAAACAGTCTTTGAGGATGGGAGGGGGCACGAAGTGGATCAGAATCGTAGCTGTAGGTATTTTCGAGTCGCGTTTCTCCAACCAGATACTGACGCGCAACTGAAATCTAGCTGCGTGTAGAAAAGAAGGCCCCGGTTCCACACTGAGGGACAGACAACAGAATTGCTTTTACCTGGAAGAAGGTGAGGGTTGTGATTGACATTGTGCACCGCCAAGGGCAGAGCGCCCAGATCGAACGGCGTGTGTCCGTAAGCTCCCAAGAAGCCGAGGGTCACCGAGTCCCTGAAGCTGTGGGCTCCTGTGCCCGTCAGGTAGCGATATAACACCGAGTAGTCAGGCTCCTTCACGCTGCTGCTTGAGTTGCCGTACTTCGGGCAAGAGCGCACGGGAGATTCCGACGACGAAATGTGGGCGCAGCAGATCAGCACCTGCAGCACACGGAAGATCAAAACACTTGAAGTTCAGCCAGAAGCATGCGCACCAGTAAAAATGCTTCTTGAGAAGCTGGCAGTACGCTCAGCTAGTCAAGAAATTCTCAGCCTCGTATGAAACCCGAATGCTCATTACTGCGTTTATAAAGGCCCACCGCCGGTCCCTATTCTGAGCCACATGAATCCAATCCACACCCCCAAACCGGATTTCCGCAAGATCCATTTTAATATTGATGGCTATCTTCTGGGTTGTAACGCCGTGTAGAAGTTTACCAGCGTTTCAGAGGTACTTGCTGCCTCCATCATCAGACCTCGTCGCCCTGGTGATGAAAGCAGCAAGGACCTCTGAAACGTTGGTAGACTTCTACCAGACTACACGGCGTTACAACCCAGAAGACAGACATATGTGGACTCACCGCAGGGAAAACCTCAATACCTACCATTTTAATATTATCGTCCCATCTACACCTATGTCTTTCGAGTGGTCGCTTCCTTTCCGAAACGTCGGCAACAAGCCAACTTTTTTTTCTAGCACACAGAAGTGGATCAACATTATGTTGGGCAATCCCCACTGTCTGAAGTTAGGATTATATATGATACACATGGCGTTTCGAAAGTTGGATCTGCTTCCATCTTCAGGGGAATGGTATTCACGGAGGTCTATTATATACTCTTTTTATTTATTTTTTATTTTAAGACCAATTGTGGCAGTTGAGATACCTGCTGGGACATTTTGAATACGTCCACCAGTTTTCTTTAATGTAATAAAAGCCTTTTCACCAACTTTTGTTCTGCGCATAGTTACAAGTGGCGTGGTATGTTGTCTAATCTGACTGTGACAGACCATCCAACCTAACTTAAAACGTGTCACTCCATTATTATACTCAATTCAAAAACCTTTGACAAGAGAAAGTGAGAAGCAGGTAGCAGGACCACGGCTGGTATTTGCATTAAAACTTCAAACGGAATTAAAGATGAAGCAGTGTCTTAAATAAGAGGATTTATATTTATCCTCGTGTAAACACTGGTGACAGCTTGCTGGTTGTAACTAAAACTAACCAGGAACTTCAACATCGATAATACCGAAGCTCGCCAATGGACACGACCCTCAGTCAGTCACATTTAGATCCATCTCCTTCTCGGTCTTCCAAAATCACATTTTCAAATGAGGTTAACTCATTAAAATTTTGTACGCATTCCTTCTCCCCCCTCCAACCTACGCTCAGCCTACTGTAGCTTTCCATATTTAAATATTTCACCGTTCTAACAATACTGGGTAATCTTTAAAAAGCACCGAGTCCCTCTTTATGTAAAATCCTCAATTATCCTAGGTCACTTCATCCTGCATAGCTCCAAATATTTTTCTGGTCACTTTGTTTTAAAACACGTGCAATTTGTCATCCAACAGAAGGTATAGACCTCCAATACAAAACAGGTGGCAATTATATTTTCATCTACATATATTTTCAAACGACGTGTCAGTTATGCTTTTGTTGTGACCTTGTTGCTTCATTTTGTTTTCGTCGTATGTTCCTGTCATTTTGTTTTACTGACTTCTATTCCCATTTCTTCCATGTTCTGTACAAGGATTTCTGGCACAATGCGATGTCACTAAAACACATAAGACAGTTCTGAATACCTGCAAGAGACCGCATGACGACGCTAGAACTAGCAGGAGACAGAGCAAACAGGCGCTTTGCGACAACCAGCACGTCAACATCCCGCGAAGTGATCGCGGAAACTGTGATCTACAGGTGTTATGAGTGAAGCATGCGCGTTACTAACATCCCTTCCAACCCCTATTGGGAAAAAAACTTCGTACACGAAAACACAAACTTACCCCTCTGACACCCCCGCCAAGTAGCTCATACGAATGCGATACGCCCACACAACATAATTATGCCTCGAGTGGAAAATATCATTTCAATGGAGGAGTTCTCAGAATCGAACTTCCTTTCAATTCCATGCATTATATTTATTACTAGCGAAATTATTTTTTTTTGCCACGGATTTTTAAAATGGACTGAAATATCAACTTTTCTTATTTTCGTGACAATAAAAAATTATCCCTTTGGGAGAAAATTTTCAATACATGCCACCTTACAAATTAAATAAATAAAAAATATTCTTTATATTTTCTGGAAACCATTTACAGTCAGAATTTCGGATTTGCAAACTGTTTAGTCGTCAGAAACATCAAACGGGAGAGGAAGCATAATGCATAAGATGTGATCCTTTTCTACTGTCTTTCCTGTTTCTATCGTTTCTTTATTCCTTCTTTTCTCCTTTCTCTTCATGATGTCGATACACAGCCAAATTAAGCCGCTTGATACAAAGGAAGGAACGTTGTATGCTGAGTGGATTCTCATTCCACTTCCTTTACTTTGTGCCCCTGTCTTTCTCAACACAACCTGAAGCGGATCTATCAACTAAACTGTGCTGATCTCCTCCCGCACGTACCACGTGTCACATGACTCGGGTCAGGTGCAAGTACTGTGATTAACAGCTGGGATAGTGAGTCCCTTAAATAGGCCACAGCTGGGATAGTGAGTCCCTTAAATAGGCCACAGCTGGAAGAAGTCCCTTAAATAGGCCGGCCACAGCTGGGATAGTGAGTCCCTTAAATAGGCCACAGCTGGGATAGTGAGTCCCTTAAATAGGCCACAGCTGGGATAGTGAGTCCCTTAAATAGGCCACAGCTGGGATAGTGAGTCCCTTAAATAGGCCACAGCTGGGATAGTGAGTCCCTTAAATAGGCCACAGCTGGGAGAGTGAGTCCCTTAAATAGCCCAAAGCCCAATTCGCGCCTTAAACAAACAGCTTGTGAGAATGTGGATTGTGACATCCTCTCGATAAGGTCTAACGGCGGGTTCAAGTTTCATAAAAGGCAGGGAATTCTTTGACGTCCAGACTGATTATCAGACTCACAACAATGACTGCTGTGTGTGTGTAAGATAAAAGGTTTTCGAAATTCAATGCATGAATGCAATGCAATCAGCATCCTCGACTACAGGCACTGTTCAAGGTCTGGTTTTAATATAAAAATACGAACTAAATAAGAATAGTAAAAAGCATATTAAAGACATCAAGAGAAAAATAAGCAAGGACAATTACAATAATATACGTAGGAAACCATATCATACCCTAAATGCTATTACTTTTTCAAAGGAAATATATGGGAATAAGGCCAACAGGTCAGCCGACTTGCATAAACGACTTCGTAATTGTTCGCCGGAATAAGGCCAACAGGTCAGCCGACTTCGTAATTGTTCGCGTATTTCCCTTATTTTTACATGGAAAGACATTTCTATGGTATTATACAAAGGCAGTGTGTTCCTCCTAATAAATTCTGAATGATTTATCACATTTTTATGAAACGATCGAACAATGCAGTGCAATTTTAACATCGAGATACATAACAAAAATACCTAAGTTTTTTTTTATAAAAACGTTTACAGCAGTAATTGAAATATGTCGGCGATGTGCAACTTCGAGAATATATCTAATAATTTCACATAGTCCGAAACGTACTAGTGGATATTATACGTAGAAATTGATAGACACAATTAATAGAATTATTAATGTATAGTAACTCATAACCTCATTATACAGACTGAGGCATTTGAATGGCCGAAGACGTTTAAGTTTCAATCCGAGACTTATTTAAGAATATAGAGGCAGCATGTTCCTCTGAAACGCTGGTATCCACCTGCAAGCACAAAAGGTGTCACAATCCATAAAACTAGCTATCGACTCCTATGGCCTGCTTATTTTAACCACCATAAAAATATTAGAGAAATAGCGAATTTTATTAAGTTTATTACGGTTATTAAGCTCCTAATTATGTATCTGTCACACTGCCCTCGTATTTCATCACACTTTGGACCACATTCTCCTCAGCTATTTTCTCTCAAACACCTTCAGTCGGTTTGTCAATGACGGAAATTTTATTTTCATTCATGCACCAGAAACACGTTTCAGAATATCAAATGTTAGCCCCAAGACACTGTACCTTGTTATCTGTGCAGGTACACAATTTTCCACTATTACAAAGCTTTTCCGGGATGAGATCACGCGACTCTCTGTGGTGCAGAAACGTGGGCAGGTAGAGAGAGAGAGTGTGGGTGTTTGCTTTCGCGATACTGAGACGGCGCCCCAAATTTCCGCCTCCCCAAACACTAACCGACCGACAGACTCAAAGCCCGGCACAAACAATACTTTCGTTAACAAGACCCACATTTCTGTTACAATATTAAAATATTTGTCATTAATAATAGATATTAAATATATTTATGCATACAAGAAGACGTCTTTCTCTATAACCGTAATTTAAGTGTTGTTGAACGACGCTTTCAGCAGCACAGACAAAAGGATCTAATAATAAGAGTAATAATAAATGGGACAGGAAGGAAGCAGTCGTGGCCTAGTTTAATGTACGATCCCGGCACTTGCCGGGAGTAACTGATGAAAACTACGAAAACCTTCAGCCTGCTCCGTGACTTCCTGAACACGTAGCAAGACTTAACCAATCGGTTACAATCTTTATATTATTTAATTTTGGTACTCCATAGTCTTTATTGCAGTAAATATTATCAGAACACAATACTGAGATCAGAAACGAACACAAAGTTTTAGTAGGAAACTCTGAAGGGAAACACACTTGGAAAACCTAGTCGTAGCTGGCAGGATAATATTAATGTACATCTTCAAGAAAAAGGACGCGAGGATGTGGATTGGATTCATCTGGCTCAGGACAGGGACCGATGGCGTGCTTACGAGAACGCCGCACTTGAGCTCCAAGTCCGAGAGACGACGGAGAACCTCTTGGCCAATTGAACAAAAGAAAGTTTCTGCTCCGTGAAGTCAGCAAGACGTGTCTGAACGGGGTACAGTTCAGTTAACCAAATTGTTGTACGATTTCGTGGAGACACGAGCGATGCCACGGCTCGACGGCCGATCAGTTCGTCAAGATCCTAAACTATTTCAATCAAGACCCGCTCATACCCTTTTCTTCTAGGTCAATTTTAATATTATCCTTCGGTCTGTGCCTTGGTCTCTCACGTGATTTCTTCTGTTTAGGCTTTCCGACTAAAATGTCGTATGAATATCTCACCCGCCCCATTGCGCGCTATTGGCCAATTTAAACATCTTCCTTTCGACCGCTCTTTCACAGAACTGTACAAAAATGTCTCTATAAAAATAACCTTGTTTTTTCACAAACCGTTGAATGGATTCCTTTATACCGTTGCATAATTTATTATAGTCTTTCTTCCTCTTTCCTTCTTTTTTTCCTTTTTACTTGTTTCCGCTTTATTGTCATTCCCCTTCTTGCACCTCTTACTTCTTGGCTCCTTTATAAAGCTTTCTCTATGGTTTCTTATATTTTTTCTTCTTAAACTTTGTAGTTTGTCTTTCGGCTACATTCTCTAACTCTTCTGCAGAATTTTTGCCTCAGTACTGCAACTTAAGAGTGATAAAGACTGTAAAGTATGCAGACGACTTAGTACGAGGGTCGCTCATTAAGTAATGCCCCACATTTTTTTCCTCAGAACATATTTATTCAAGATGGCTCAAATTTAGTGACAATATAAATCAATGTTTCCTTTACACATACTATTTTTCCACATAGTCCCCATCAACTTGTACGGTTTTACGCCAGCGTGGAACAAGGGCATGCATGCCTTGCCGGTACCAGCTCTTGTCCTGTCCCCGTAGCCATGTCCTCACTGCTTGAATCACGCTCTCGTCATCTTCAAATCTTGTTCCGCGGATAGCATCTTTAAGGGGCCCAAAGAGATGGAAGTCGGAGGGTGCCAGATCTGGACTGTAGGGTGGATGGGGTAGCACCGTCCAACCCAATTTGGTGATTTCTTCCCGGGTTCTCAGACTTGTGTGAGGGCGTGCATTGTCGTGCAGGAGCAAAATTTCTGCTGGATGCTTGTGAGGCCGAACTCGTCGAAAACGCTTCTTGAGGGTTTTCAGGGTCCTGATGTACGCGTCTGAATTGATGGTCGCACCTCTTGGCATCACATCCACAAGAATGACCCCATCACTGTCCCAAAAGACAGTCATCATGACTTTTCCGGCGGAGGGAGTTGTCTTGAATTTCTTCTTTCTCGGTGATTGAGGATGATGCCACTCCATTGACTGCCTTTTTGTCTCTGGCTCAAAGTGGTGTATCCAGGTTTCGTCACCTGTAATGATCCGGGACAGAAAGACCTCTCCCTCAGCATCAAAACGCTCCAACAATTCAGAAGAAATCGTTTTCCTTTGAATCCTGTGGTCTGCTGTGAGACTCTTATACAAGGAAAGAAGATGACGTTCCAGGAATTAAAGCGAGAAGCCGAGAATAGGGACAACTGGAGAGCTCTTTTTGGGCAGAGCAATGGACCTGTCGTAAGACAGAACACTTAATAATAACTTCAATTTTCCTCGTCGTCCTTGAACCATGTCAAAATACTTGACAACAGAGATGGTGTACGCACCAAATGTTTACAGTTTCATTAGAGCGAGATCGAATATAGTCGTTCAGTGGTTCTCACTCCAGCTTCGTATTCGGTAAGTCCCGGGTTAAAATCTCGGCCCGGAGATCGACTACCCTGAATAAGGATTTTCGTGGTTTTCCTGAGTTAAATGGGGCTACAATCACTTCCTTCCAAATTCTTTCTTATATACACTTAAATACTGAAAAGCGTCACTACACAAACTCTCGGGAATGCAGAATTTTAGTCTGAAAACCTGATAGACGTTACTTAAGATACCGTAGACCAGATCCCCAACTTATGTCTCAGAAACTGCAATAAACTCATGATGTTAGCTTATACTCGCTTTACAACAAGTTACTTGCCCCACGCAACTTAAAGACACGCAAATTTCTAATAGAAAATTATATCTAATTATAACGTAACGTAATAAGAAGACATCAGTCTAAAGTAATTTCACTAATGCGTTCTTTGTACTAAGTTCAATACTTGTATTCATATTTTATTGCAAAAATTTTTAATCATATAAACTCAAGTGAACTAACTGGTCTGAACGTAGTCTAAAGATGGAGGACGGCTAGTAAACTAAAAAGTCGAAATTAAAGTCGCCTTCCTGAACGCGTTGTCTGATTATTCATTATACAAACTGATTCATTCTGGCAGACCTGACTCAAATAACCACCATCGAGATGATCAATAAGAAATGAGATATTAAATAAAATCCACTGTTAAAATTAAAGTACAGGAAACTTATGATAACGAATTTATTGCGATTATGATTACGTCTTTTATTCGTCCGCTTATCAGCTTTATAAATTTTGGCGTTGTTCATAAATGTTACAAACATTTCAACAAACAACATTTTTTTGCGTCCCGCTATACCCCATGTAGGCGCTTGGGGGGAGTGGAGGTATAGCTCCTACTCATTCTTGACCTCGGCACTAGATGGGGGGTGAGTGGTCAGCATCACGCCCCGGCCGGCTTTACCCCCGGGAAAGGACCCCGGTACCCATTGGATATGAGGCTGAGTGGGCCCCAGAGCCGGTCTGGACGCAGAGGCTAGAGGAAAAATCCTCTGCCCCCGTCGGGGATCGAACCCCAACATTAGCGATTTAAACTATTAACATAATTAAGATGGCTATCTTCTGGATTTTTGCGTCGTATAGTCTCACAGACGTTTACCGGGGTTTCAGAGGTGCTTGAAGCCTCCATCATCAAGGCGCTGAGACAGTTGTCGTTCTTTTACAATTCTTTTTCTTAGAGTTAACACAAATGAGTTTATGCATTTTAACAGGAAAGCACCAACACTAATACCTCCTGGTTATACGTCCCCACACCACGAAAAATACACTCACCGCTGAGATGCACATATAAATATAATGCACAGCTAAACCAAAAAAACCATAAAAAGACATGTACCGTCCACTTAATGTTAATGTAATTGTAAAACTAAGAATTCGAAGGCAATTAGTGACGGAATAAAACGTCAGACACATGTTAATGACCAATTCATGCGGAAGACAGTAACGACGTGTTAACAAGCACGCCAAGGTTTCTCGTAAAGCCTCGTCACTAGCGTCCGTGCAAATTTACACAGATCATCTAACTAGGCTTGATAAATAGGATTCCAACGATGGTGCACTTCATGAACAAATTATAACACGGCATCAACAACAATCAAATGGAGCTGCAGTAAAATCCATTGTTCAACATGTGATTGAACAACAACTACAAACAGCATACAAATCCAGAACCTAAGTCAATGTCAGAAAAGAAAGGGTATAATTATTTTGAAAAAATTGTGCAGGCCTTCTTCAATATGCAGAGCATTGCCTCTACTCATGCCTCTTGCTCCACTGAAGCCATAAAATGTGACACAAGAAATTCCGTATCTTCAGCACAGTCAGTTTTTTTTGCATCCTTAAAACATTTAATAATAATCATGTAATTTTACATTCAACAGATAAATAACAGAAGATTTCTGTCTTCTGGGTTGTTGCGCTGTGTAGACTGGTCGATGTTTACCAACGTTTCAGAGGTCATACTGCCTCCGTCATCAGGGCGATGAATATGAACATTTCTGTCTTCTGGGTTGTTGCGCTGTGTAGACTGGTCGATGTTTACCAACGTTTCAGAGGTCATACTGCCTCCGTCATTGCCCTGATGACGGTGTGAAAACCTCAGATCTTACAGATAAATAACAAATCACCAGATCATCCCAAAAACATAGTCTGACTTTAAAACGTAACAGGTTCAGCTCAGACATGCAAGGAAGAGAGAAAAGGGTTGTTACAAATACCGCGTTTCCTGTTTTTACCCAGTCTCCATCTTATAAACTCCTCCAGCCCAATAATACACTTCATTTCCAGTCCTTACCATCTCCTTCATTCTGGACTATAATTTTACAATTCTGTTTCAACATTTTCATTACCCATTGCTCCAAAATGCCTACATAACCTTTACAGTCCTCCTGAGTAAATCACTAAGTTTCAAAACCAGAAGAGCTATTAACAAAGCACAATACACAGCTGCCTTCATTGTTCATAGAAGCACAAGAGAGGCATGAGATTGTAAACATTTCACATTACAAAAGAACCATTACTGCTTTGTTCATAAATGAATATAGAAAACTGTTATTCACTACCAGGTCCTCATCAAACCTTCCATTGTGTGAAGGAAGTCACTAGTAAGGCCTCTGTCTGCTCTCCCACAGCAACTGTGCCTTCAACATCACAACGAAGGTAAAGGTAAAGAATTTCATAAAAAGTGCTACATTTATACAGCACATTCCTCCAAAATATGATGGAATTTACTTCAGAACTGAAGATGGAGACAGCATGTTTCTTAGAAACGTTGGTATCTACAAGTTCACACAGAATCACAACCCAGAAGCGCAGAATTGTCACAACACAATTAATTTAAAATTTAGACCACAAATTGCATATTAACTATTAATACAAATATATAAATCTAATTTGTACATAAAATGAGAAACATATTGAAGAATCCTGTTTTTCTAGCCAAATTAAAGTAGTAGGAGAACCTTAAGTCAAGTTTGGGCACCATGTTTGACCTTTAATAATTTAAGAATACTAATTGTCATGGTTTATATCAGTACGAGGGGCAGTCAAACAGTTCCCGGAATTGTGGTATAGCACTGTAAAGGTAAGACATATGGCAACACTTACCTAATCACCTTCAAAGTAGAACCCTTGCGCACACGCACACACTTGCTCCATCGATCCTTCCATTGTTCGGAGCACCGGCGGAAGGCTTCGTTTGGAAACTTCCGGAGTTCGGCCGTCGCATTCGATTTGATGTCCTCCATGGTTGCGAAACGCGTCCCCCTGAGGCCCATTTTCAGAGTAGGGAACAGCCAGAAGTCACTCAGAGCGAGATCCGGAGAGTATGGTGGTTGGGTGATGACGGGAATGCTTTTCTCGGCGAGGAATTGCTGCACAGCCAGCGATGTGACTCAGTTATTCTAGAAATTCTCATTTTTTATGTAACTTGAAGATCATTTAAACGTTCAAAACAGATTATCAGTGGGTCCTATCCTGCACCAGTAAAAACCATCCTCACACCTCATTTCTATAAGATCCATTTTAATAACATCATCCAATCTTCCAAGTGGTATCTTCCCTTAAGATTTCTCAACTAAAATGTTACATCCATTTTGCATCACCATCGTGGTACGTCTTACCCATCTCATTATTCTTTGTTTCACTGCCTATTTCCACTTGGTGACATAGGCACCAATTCCTCAAATTTTCTGAAAACACAGCTAACAACAAAGAGTTGGCACCAAGAACAGAATGTTCACTCACTTCCGCTGCTCTTGAATTCCAAGGATCCCCTTAGTCAAACAACTCAATCGGCTCCACAGCGTATCAACGGAAAACCACAAATACCCAACACACGTTTTTCTAGGCCTAAACCTCTTAACAGTGTCTAACAGATTTCTGTGGTTTTTGTGGTGTGTCTTTTTGTCCAGTAAGTCAGCTCAGACTGTACAGACCAAAAACTGATGTTTTCATTTCAAATCCAGTCCCACCCATGTTTTCTGTAACTTTCTTAAAGATGTATTCTAAAGCAAGAAAAGGAAGCCATACACAAGAAAATACATATTGAAAACATTCTAAGTGCTGCAGATGATAGTTAAGTATAAAAAAATACAATACCACTCTCTACTAAAAAACAATTTTCAATTGTAAGTGTTACAGTCCTTCTGTTGCTTCTGAGAGTAACGTTACGGTTTCTTTATGTGACTGTCAGTTATTGGAAGTAAACATGTTACTTTTAACTTTAATATAAGAATACTGAATCTTTTCATTAAAGATCATGCAAAGTGAATTAATCTCATAAATGTAAAATATTTTCAACCTCTTAACACTCAATTTAAATTTATTGTAGCATGACAATATCAGACCACTTAAGTGTCCTTAAGCACAATGATTTTGAATTTTGAGCATGGAAAATAGCGCGTAAATTTACTGCATTTCTATTAAATTAGCCAGGTCATGCCAAACAGTCATTTCTCAGTTGAGGAGCCAATCAATGTCAGGTTCAATTTTTCCATTTGTTGGCACAGGTGAATTCTAAGAAAGTAACTAGAACTCCACTCACATAAAACCTTACATCACGTTCCACACTATACAATTCCGCAGCTGAAATAACCTACCAATCAATCGGTCCAGAAATACCCGGACACATGATCGTTTCCACGGTTTGTTACATTTTATTAAAAAAAAATTCCAAAAGAAATTTTTAAATCCTTATGTGGAAAGAAAATATGCTTGCAAAAAAAACAACGTGTTTTATTGAGGACTTCTGTGGCAACCAGCAACATTATTACAGAAAAAAGTTAATGTTTTCAAGACTGTCTTTTATGACCACACACATGTAGACCTGACAGAACTCAATCCTCCAGATAGTCTAAAAACTGGGAAACCCAAATGATTCGGTATGTTAGTACAGAGAAGATGTTGACTGTTTTCTCAATGGCCCTTGGACTGCAGTTCATCCATCACTGTATGTGTCATCACCTAGTCCCATGGACAACGGCAAATGGGACTGTCTCTGTCACAACAAACCCGACCCTCTTGACTACTGCTGTAGTCCACTGTACTTGTGTTGTCAGCTCTGACGCTCTGCCGGAGACCCATAAGAGCCATTCTTGCCAAGCCCGCTGCCACAAAGTACTCACTGCTGTTACGATCAAGGGGAGAACTCTCTGAAGGGTCGACATCAAGATTAAATACTAATGGAGAATCTGCGTGGCTTTGTGCTGGCCCAGACTGTCTGAAGCAATCAGGAACCCCTCCTGCACATCAATGGTCACTTGCTTGTTTCTACAGATTTAGGTGTTTCTTCTTTATGCACTCTTAATTTATTACATTTTCTCTGGTTTAAGTGGTTAAAATGGTTTAAAGAATATGTACCACATCTTCACTTTCATTATTAGTTCTATATTCAACGCAGTTACGTAGTGAGCAAAAGGCAGCAAGGCCGATGATGCTGTTGCATGGGAATAATGAAGGTTTCTTAAAACGCTAAAAAACCTATATTCATACTTTACATGAACAAATATCTATGACATATCATCATCTAGGAGTTCAACCTTGTTACATAAAATCAGCTCTCCATTTATGTACACATACAGTTCATGCATGCTGTAATTTTCAGGAACATCTCTACCATGCAAGTAGAGAAATTGCAGAAAATTAGATTCTGTGGAATATTCTGTTATTTTAGCCAATCTTTATGAAAATCTGTCACTCCCATCTGCTAACTTGTTACTACTAACTGTAGGAATTTATAAAGTATAAGTTTAGGGTGGCCTTGAATGGTATAACTTCCAAATTTCATAAAAACTTGTCCAGCATTTCTCAACTTGAAGCGTGTGTGCAGACAGTCAATCACAAATCCATTCATTTTATGCATGTCATACAATAAATGCATAATAATCAGGACACGTGGTTTAGAACACAAACATGAACTGCTAACACTGTTTGTCCCCTTCACTGTTAGTGAAAACATGTGACTAGGCTATGCGTTAGCCAATAAAGTTCCTATCATAGACATTTAGACACCTCTAAAGAAATAAATACTATTCCACTAGAACTTACCAGTGTAATACACCACTTTGTAGCACCCAAGACGCACTGCACCTATCTCTCCATCCTCACCATTACCATTGATTGGATGAAACAACACCTGTTCACACAGAGCATATAAATCCAGATAAATAATGTCATTGTGCACACTACAATATTCAGAATTCAAAGATGAACTGGGTTAACTGACAGTCCATTCACAAACAGAATTCTTTATGCACAACTTTCAAATCTTTACTTATAGACAGCTTTAGATAGCACAGTCCTCTTTTTCGGCATGATGCATTTTCACATACCTCCCTGATACTGCGGACACCGCCAGTTATGAGAGATGACATGTCCTTTCCATCAAAATATCTATCTGCAGGAAGATTTACTCCTGCTAATGAAGTCAGTGTGGGCAGTATATCTAGACTTGATGTCAGAGCATTGGATACAGTCCCAGCCTGAAACAAATATAAGCATCACAAATGAAACCACTTCGAGGTTAACCAAAAAGTGGCATTAAATATTTCTTCAATAATCCACTTTCAAATAGTCTATATTAATATTTACCAAACTTCATGGTCTCAGAAGTGTTCTGTAATTAAAGGGGATAACCTCAAGCCACAGTTTTCTCAAACCCTACACACATATTGATACCTTTATGTGCTGAGGCCAGTATACGATGGATGGTACACGATGCCCTGCCTCCCAAATTGTCCTTTTTGCCACTGAACCTCCTCCACCTCCTTCAGGAGATGCTTGCCACATCCCAATAAATGGACCAACAGAACCTGATAGTCCACACTTTTCTTCCCATGGTCCATTATCACCTGCAACAATAAAAATATTATATTACGCTCATGTATGTTTATACATCCATCCAACTAAGTATGTAATATATATCAATATAACTTTTGAACAGATTTTTATTAAATTTAATATGCATATCACTAAAATGGAAGCTACTGCACTTTCATGTCCTTCACTGAACCTGAAGGTATGCTACCATGTTCACAGCAGCTCGCCACTGGACTCTATCCTCAGCCAGTTCAATCCAGTCCACATCCTCACACCCTACCTCTTTAAGATCCATTTCAATATCATCCTCCCATCTAAGCTTAATTTTCCTAAGTGGTCTCCTCCCTTCAGGACTTCCTACTGAAATGTTGTATATTCCCTCCTCATATTTCTATCCCTTCATAGTTTCTAAATATCCTATATTAGCAATACCAATGTTGCTGCTGTTCTAAACTTCCAAGCTGGAAGCAACAGTAGTAGCATTTAATATATAATCCTATAATTGTATGTGAAGCTTTATCCTCAGGTGCTATTAATTGTTCTATATGTAATGTAAAATAACAACATGATAGCTGTGTGATATCTGTATTTAGTTCCCAATTTGACTATAATAACTAATGAACCACTAAAGCTAAACATGTGAAATTCAATACACAAATAGATCACGCATATATCTATACACTTTGCATAATAATTCTTTTGTATGTCAAGAATTACAAATGTAGCAATGGGTATAAAATGAGAAGGTCATATCTGACTACTAACATGTAGAGTTAACCTATATTGGTGGAAATCATACAATAAAATAGGTCAGTAGTTTGTATGAGTATTAATTTATAACACAGCTAGCCTTTGTACACAGACGTAAGGATTTAATGAAAAAGAATTAATAAATTCTTCCAAGAACTATCCCTTCTCCCAGAACTGTTTCAACATTATGTACCACTGGTATAAGACCAAAATGTATAGTATCTTCAGACAGTGGCAGAGGCAGTCACAAACATATAAACAACTCTGAGCATTTATTCTCTGAGTGACAATGTGTCTAAAACTTCAATAGAATTTACATTTGCACTAGTTTTATACTCCGATCTTCAATGTTTTAAAATCACATGTTCTTATTGCCTCCCCCAGCCGCACAATTAATTCATACTAACTTGTGAACCAAAAAAGAGTATTGTTGTTTGTCTGCTTCACAGCAGACAGGATAGATTCCACTAGTCCATCCAATTCTTGGAGAGTGTCCATGTATTCTCCTCGGCCAGTCACGTTGTCATATTGAGATGCGTGGGCCAGTGGTACGTGCATGTGTGAAAGTGCAGCGTACAGGAAGTAGGGAGCAGAAGATCTGTAACAACGGAATACTTTGGTAAATGATAATGTGTCACATTTTCATTCATTTACACAGTCAATGTTGCTTACTTAGAACTGCCAGTGAAATCTGTCATCATACCAAAGATCACTTCAAAGCTCCACACATATTTATCTTGACAATGGATGAGAGTTCTGTTACCACCATTGTTGGCATTACTTTCTGTATCTGATGTTCTGTTTGTTTTTCATTCCAATTCTTACTGGACTAGATTATTGGTTTATTAAGTGAATGTGGAAAGAACATGAAAGGAAGATAATCATGACATACTTAAGGTACTATTACATCATTTGTCTGCAAAGAATAAAATACTATGAAATACTTAGTCGAGACAGGCAGCCTCTGCGCAGGATCTCTCAATTACAAAGTATGAATACTGTCCAATACTTTCTTATTAGAAAGACAAGTAGAACAGAAAGGTTCCATCAAAGATTAATTCTTTGATATATTTGCTGGTACAATTAAATGCCCCACTAGTATTACAAGAAACATAAAATAAATTCCAGGACATCATTTTACTCTCCACCTTGCAAATATATTTCAAGAGTTCTAACATCTTTATTTGTCTACATAATCATCCTTCATTCCACATGCTACTTCCACTGCTGTACAAGATTCATAAACTCATGAAAATGCACTGTCCAACTGCACATCTGCCTGCTCCTTTAACATCCTGAGTAACAACAAAACTGAATGCTAACATTAATACTCCTGAAGCAAACAACATGTAAGGTGCCATGCCCATCACTTCATTACAAGAGCAATGGTAAAAGCAAAGTTCAGTCCTGAAATTTACTTCATACTCCCAATTCTTAGCTAGATGGATCAAATCTCTACTTACGTATTGTGAATGAAGTTACTGGCAAATTCAGCATACATCGTGGCTAGATCTGCCAGTTTCACTGGTTGATGTGCAATGGAGCGGTTCCTGTATAGTGGCAATGCAGGATCCATGATGCAGTCAGAAGGTGCAGAATCATACAGATACACACTGTTTTCTTGGGAAACAACAAAGTAATGCTTCACTCAAATTCTTTGTCACTTAAGTGAACTTATTTTCATGATAGCTTAAAAGGTGATTTAAAATTATACTTGTTCTCTTTCATTTCTGTTATACAGACCCAGACAGGGGTCAGTAACCTGAAGAGTTTATATAGACAGCACTCAAAGCAAATAGTATGTCACAGAAAAATGTTGTTGACTCCTGTTACAAAATATTAACTTTCAGCCATATTAAGTGAAAAGGCACACGTGTATGAATATATTCTATTCAGTTCTATCATCCCACTTACATATTCTTATGACATGCAAAACATAACTTCTTTAAGTTTGCTAGATGATGAGCCCATCAGCTAATAGAGTTTCGGTAAAAGAAAATTATTTTCTGTGTAATTCTGAACTCTTAATCCTGCCAATTTAATTCCAACTTTCAAACCACTTTACCTTCAGGACAAGCTGGACAAAGAGGGACGTTTGCCCCTGGAGGATCAGAACACCCCATATCAAGGCTGTATGGGACACCTAAGTATGAGTGAAACCCTTTGTCCAGTGGATGGTGGCCCGGTTGTGTGCCAAGATGCCACTTTCCTGTAACAGACACTTTTGCTGGCTTGATGACTTCTCCAGCACTAACCTAGGACTTATCCAGAATTTCTCCAGGACTTCTCCAGCACTTATTCAGGGCACCTCACGACCACCGTATAACACGCTAGGTGTAAAATTTCTTGACTACCTGAGCAACTATTAATTTCTCAAGGAGGGTTCTGTTCCATGCAGTCAGTCAGCTTAAACTTATCACTCCATATAATATCTGCCTACAAAACACACCATAGAAAGATGTCTTAGGCAACTTACCCAGCATAGCAGTTCTGTAACCAGCACTAGACAGAATCTCTGCAATTGTAGTCTCATTGGTAGGTATACCTCCTAACGAATCTGTACCAAAGTTCTTGGTGAGACCAGTACGTAGGCCTAAGCGGCCAGTTAGCAGGGCTCCTCGTGAAGGTGTACATACGGAAGCTCCCGCGTGAAAATCTGTTAACCTGTTACAATTAACTACAATGAGAGTTACAACAATATGTAATGAGGAAATTTATGATTAATACAGGATCTACAATCACTTATTCAGGGCACCTCACGACCACCGTATAACACGCTAGGTGTAAAATTTCTTGACTACCTGAGCAACTATTAATTTCTCAAGAAGGGTTCTGTTCAATGCAGTCAGTCAGCTTAAACTTATCACTCCATATAATATCTGCCTACAAAACACACCATAGAAAGATGTCTGTAACCAGCACTAGACAGAATCTCTGCAATTGTAGTCTCATTGGTAGGTATACCTCCTAACGAATCTGTACCAAAGTTCTTGGTGAGACCAGTACGTAGGCCTAAGCGGCCAGTTAGCAGGGCTCCTCGTGAAGGTGTACATACGGAAGCTCCCGCGTGAAAATCTGTTAACCTGTTACAATTAACTACAATGAGAGTTACAACAATATGTAATGAGGAAATTTATGATTAATACAGGATCTACAATACACTGGACTGGACATATTGGGGGGGGGATAAGAAACACACAGTTGTACAGAATTTTTATTTACGAAAAGCATGGACTCTGTTAATGTTAAAGAATTTGCTGTTGATTAAAGAGATGGGAAATATACCTTTGTGTATGTGAACCAAAGAGAACCATAGAAGACAGCCTTGAAAAAACAGGGTTATATTTCCATATATCTGACACACTTACTGTTTTTTAAGAACAAGAGTAAAATTGTGTTCTTCAATTTTGATATTTATACTGACAGAGCTAATTAACAATACAGATAGTGCACTGTATGGAGAAATACACCATCTTTATTTGCATTTCATTCAATATATGCCATATAAAACAGAAGATTAAAATCTTAATTTTGTCTATATTTTGTTATATACAAAGATACATTTTTAAAAAAACTTTATTCATTTTAACTCAAGCTTTGTGTAAAGTACATGTTATATTGGACCAATATAATCCAAATAAAATCTGCCTGAAAATATCCAGTGTAGATCTCACTCCCATATCTTATAGATACTTGTTGATTGGACAGGCAGGCATGTAAAAAAGTTAATATATAAACATAATTTCAATTTTAGATTTTCAAACTTTCTGCTTCCATGACCAATTTTTAAAACTGCTTATGCAAATACTGATTTTCACACGTGTAACCTATATTTGACCATATGACAAACTCACTGGAACTAAAAATAAAATTGTGGAAACTTAATAAGAGCCTAATATATTACCTGTAATTAATTATCAAATGGTCAGTGTGTCAGGTTTTCAACACCTCATTTGACAGTATCATGAAACACAAGATAGTGACAGTAGGTTAAAGATCAGTCAGTGATATATGAGTTCATCATATCCTGTTCAAAGTATCAGCCTTCAATAAAACTGTATATAATTACATGAAAAAAACGATTTATTTATATGTATGGAGTAATCAAAACACGAGACATTATGAAGGAATAAAAAATAAAACAAGCTTGCAAATAACAATATATGATGAGTTAAAGTCAAGAATACGGAAATTAAATCAATCTCAGAGATCCCAATACAGTTAATTTAGCCTCACTTGATAAAATTTCTAACAGAGCGTGTTCTTGATATAGAAACAATTAAGGACATGAAACTGATTAACTGGTTTAAAACCAAAACATAGCTGTAAGTGTCTGTCAAGATATCAAACATCTGGGGGATGAACAAAGGGACCATTAGAGGCCCAGTTCCAAAGAGACATGGTCTCACCACATCAAAAACAATAAAAAATAAATGTTATGTGAACAGTAACCTGATCGATAATTTCACTGTCTCATCAAAACCTTGTGACCGCTCCTCACAAATATGACAGCATGTACTGGATCTGCCAATATCTAATGAACACTTTGTATTAAAAATATTTCATTATTATTTAATATTTTTATGTCACATTCAAAATCAATGGTGTACACTCTTTGAATATGAAACTTCAAAATACTTCATGCAATGCTTATTAATTGAAGTTCTAGTCATAATGTAGTTTGCAGCTGAAATATAATGCAATTTGCAATTGAAATACTATTCATAAAAGCAGGATCACGGTTACAAACCTGAGACCTTCCTGTGCCAGCTTGTCAATAGTTGGGGTATCCACAGTCTCAGGCCAATTGGCCCCAACATCTCCCCATCCCATGTCATCAGCCATTATAATCACAATGTTGGGTCGCAAGTCTGTCTGTGCTGTGTATGCTGGGTGAAACATCCACAGCAGAAAACAAAATCCACTCCACAACACAATCATATTTACATCACTCACAACTGAATGAACATTTTTCTTGGAAAATGAGTTGTGATTTTAGCACTAACATAATTTCATTACAAATAATATCAGATAACTGATTTCTGAATAACTTTTCAAAACAATACAGTTTCCATACTTCTATATCAATCTGCCCTCACTTGTATAATCCTCTTTTAAATCACAGTACTAAGTGTCACATTCATGATTAATTTGTCCTTGAAATTTTCTGAAAGAACCCGCATTGCAGCACTACTGCCATCTATGAACAATTATAGGAACTGGTAACTTGAATACGTTGATGTTTTGTTTTTCGTCCTTGAAAATCAGAACAATGTGGTAAATAAATTAATGACAGACAATTCAGCACTTACCCGTTCAGTATTAAGTCACGAGTCTTTCCAAAATAAGGTTCTCATTCTTTTAAAAGATAAAAACCAAAATTGTATTAAATACAATAAACTTACATCAGTGTTGTACGGTTATGTATTCTTCAGTTTCCCAATGATTAAAATTAGGTTGCATCTGATATGTCTATATATAATCGCTTATAATACATAACCATTTTACACTTTCAGGCAAAATTTAAAATTCACAATACAACCAAATTCCAACTTTTATAGCTCAGTCAGTATAGTGACTAGCTGCAGGCTGGGCGACTGGGGTTCAATCCCCAATGGGAGCAGAGGATTTTTCCTCTAGCCTCTGCAACCAGACCAGCTACAGGGCCCACCCAGCCTCCTGTCCAATGGGTACAGGGGTCCTTTCCCAGGGGTAAAGCGTGGCCGGGGTGTGATGCTGACCACTCACCCCCATCGGGTGCCAAGGTCAAGAAAGAGGAGCTATACCTCCACTACTCCCAAGCGCCTACATAGGCGTGTAGCGCAACACTTTACTTTACTTTACTAAAATGAATACATCTTTGTAGCTGATGACTTCTATACACTACCCACATTATTCCAGAAATGATTACACACAACTGCTGAATTCCACAAAAGAACACTCATACTTGTCAATATTCTTATAATTTATTAAACAAATATGAAGTTCTCACAACTGTTCTGTTGCAACATACATTTACATAGTTCAGGATACATGGAGTTCAAACTGATATGTACCATCAGCAACACCACAGTTACAGACATTTGTATGTCCTTTTAAAATTTGAAGTGAAATCTCAACAACATACAATGAGTTTAAAGTCCAAACACATCACTCACAACTAGTAAACATATGGAGAATGCATGCAATCAAAAATTCTGTGTAAAGAACTGCTGGGCTCCTACTTACTGCCAAAGATCCTGATCTTTCACAGAGCCATCTTAAAATGCCAGGACATAATTAACTTTGAACTACATGGGCCTGAGTTTTTTAGTAGCTAAAATACACTCAGCTTGTCAAATGGAATCCACAGGTACATTATGTGTTCACAAGAGCCCACCACAGGTCTCTACACTCAACCACATGAATCAAGCCCACACCTTTCCAACCTACATCCCTAATGTGGGGTCCGATTTTGCATATAATGCCATTGATGACATAACTGAGCATTAAGAACTGTAAAGATGAGTTGTAGGAAGAAGCACTTCAGCACTTATACTAGAGAATAAACTGTTTTCACAACGTAATTACTGTGTTAAACCAAAACTGTACTGAAATATAGTATACCTACACAACAACCCTCAATAAGACAGTTTTATAATTTCAGGATATCAATGGTTGCAGTACATAAGAAAAACACTGAGCAATAAACAGCACATAAGAAAACACCTTCCCCTTATTAAAAAAAACAAACAACAATCTGAATGTATTTTATTCAAATCAAAAATCAACAGCAGATGCTCTTCATAAGTTCTCACTTAATTTAATCTTGTACCATGGGCTATCTTAGATATCTTGTCACACTGCAAAGTGGGTTCTCTGAAAGCCTTGGCCTGTAACATGAGAGAAAAATGATTGAGTCAATTTTATTAGTGGCTACAACTTATTTTCTAGCACACATCAAAATACCGACAATCAGTTGTGTGCATTGTTTAAAATAATTTATGTCAACATGTTCTGGGGAGAACTTATGAAGCCAAATTTCTTTTAAATATTTCCATCAGAAGAGTGAAAACACAAGAACTCAACTATGAATAATTTATACAAGTTAGTCAGCTTAGTTCCATGTTTATGTCAACTACAAAAAAAAATTAACCTTCAGAGATTGTGGAATAGTGCAAGAGTTGTAAATATAGGACAATATAAGAAGAATTATAAGAACAATGATTCCATGTTTTCAATTTCAATTTGACTCCAACTTCTATCACTAACATCAACAACAAAGTCAATGCATATTAAACACGATGGATAATGTCCGGCACAATTCATACTTCGCCTCATTCACTGTTAGTTTCTCTATCAGTAAACAGCTTTAGATATTCCAGTTTTCATGTATACTTCTTACCACCTTACAATTTCTGCCAAAAGAGAGAAAAAAATTTCTGATGACATGCTTACCGATGCTCTGTAGGATTGTACGGATATGTTCCTCATCACTGCACTGAAAGGCAAAACATGTATATGCCTTTGCTATGTTACAGCTCGTATCTCTGTAAGCCAACAAAAATTACAACCAATTATAATTCTGTGGGAACACAACACTCATTGAACTGAGGTTTATTCCGAGCAGGGGTTTACAGACTACTGAATACAATTTAGAGAAACATGAGAAACACGAACCAGCACACACAGATGAACACACATACTCAGTCTGTCTGTCTGTCTGTGATATATTCCAAAGCAGACTCAAAAAACATTTACTTCTCAGAATGACACAGCAGAACAATATTCAACAACCTTCGTGTTCACAAGGTAGGTATCATACAGCTTTATTTATGTATGTTGTGTATATTCAAGAAGTGTAACACCAGTGCTTCCAATGTATGAATCCATCATTCATTTTCTGCAGGATACCAGAGGTATATTCATGCATATATACAGTTAATCATATCAACATTTCTTTTTGTAAAAATACCGTAAACATAGAAACTCCATAAAGTATAATACATAAGAGATATGATTACTTAAATCATGAAACAGATGGATGTAACATACACAGTACACTACTGCCAAAACTCATGGGCAAGACATGAGATTTACACCACCTTCCTTTCAAGACAGGAAATTATTTATGAAACACCTCGTATAAGTTTAACTGCAGTGGCATGGCCAAGTCACATATGTCCAGAAGGGCAATGACTTACCTGTATGGGAAAAAGTATGATTTTTTATTTGAGGGTGGGGCTGCATATTCTATTTATTCAAGACAAGTGTTCTCAGACTGATAAAATTTAAAAACCACTGATCTAAACAAATGAGACAGCCATTTCAGTACACAGCGTGTTTTACAAAATTGTTCTCAAGAATTTCCAAATATTTCTTCTGGAAAATGATATGTGTTGTGAAACTCACCCTGCAATGTATGAGAAATGGTTTGGAATGCTAACACTCATCCCACAAGACGAGATCTCCATATATGAATGCTTCAAGAGTACCTGTATGAACACATTGAGCATTGTTATGAGATTTGTGATTTTCATGGCTGTGGACATTAAAGTTGTGGTCTTCTGGGCTGTGATACCATGTAGTACTGCAGGTAATTGCCAGCATTTCAAAGGTAATGCTGCTTACACGGTAAAGGCATAAGTGTCGCAATGCCACAACTCAAAAGACCACAATTTGAAGAAAAGCATATAATTTGTAAATATTGAATCTTGATTACTAATTCCATTACCCAACCCCCTTTTTATACACTTACTCAGTTGTTCCATGGAGCTGAGTCCTTCTTGAGAAGACAACAGTAACTCAGCCACTCATGAAATTATGGAACCAGAAGGTTCAATACCATGTTCACAAGAGCCTACCTCGTCCCCTTCTTATATTCCTTTTACAAATGACAGAAATCCAGTGTTTCTGCTTAAGGACTGTTACTGAGCCTGACCCTTTGTTTCTTTGTTATGCAGACTGTGATGGAGTCTATCTTTGACCAGACTGTAAATTAATGAAGGAGTGGGAAAAGAACATACCTATGGCCTCATTTCAGAAATGTGCCCAGTCTAGGTATGCTTTGACTTCTAACCAGCACAGAATTCAGTCCAATGATATTACCTGCTTGGATTTTCAAATAAAAAGTTTCTTGCCCTAATTATCATAATTAAAAAACAAAATATACTTAAATACAAAATTTAATATTGCATATCTTAGTGCTGTAAACTGGTATTCAAAGTAGTAGTTCTGGGAAATATTTATGAGTTTCTATTCTTCTAAATGCTCCATCTGTATATACAGAATAGCAGAAATTACCAGACTAATTCTGTGCATGATTTCCATAAGTATACATTTCCGTTACCTTTCAGCTCTCAAACAACCTCTACGTTTTCCTGTATTGACGTGTTCATAATTTTTTACAGTAGATGTAAATGGGGAATAAATTCAGTAAAATGTAATTGGAAATGGGGATTTTAATGACATTTGATACTGAGGAGTTTTGCCAAAACTTCAACACATCCATATTTGGGTTAAAATCAAACAACAATAACGGATGATTTGAGGTTTTCACAGCAGGGAGTATGAAGATTTCTGTCTTCTGGGTTGTTGCGCTGTAGTCTGGTCGATGTTAACCGACGTTTCAGAGGTCATACTGCCTCCGTCATCAGGGCGATGAATGGACAATAATGGACACTTTACAAGAAGACCTACACACGTTTCTGCGTGTCAAATTGACTGGGTTGGTAAACTCCAAACTACCCTGATTCTTATGTGGGTTGCATACCTTCCCTGTAGCATTTTCTGTAACTTTAATTCCAATCTCCTGAATCTCAAACAATGATGGGTGATGTGACCCTCCATTCAACAGGATTATTCTCATTGCATTATCTATCTGCTTCACATCACCATGTTTCCCCGTAGTAACACTACCCACGAATGTCACATCAAAACCAGGTCTGAAAATAAAAGTTGACTTGTTTAGGATAACAGTCAACAAAAAATGGTATAACACTGTTACAGATCAATGTTTTAGCAAAGTTGTCCATGTGTCTGAACCCCGAAATTACAATGCCAAGAACTAGCAAATAAACTCACCTGGCTGCAGAAGGTACGTTCTTCAATTTATCACTTACTTCTCTTGGCACTTGCTTATGCCTATCATTGTACTGTGAATGTAGCTCATCTGGGTCTAGATGTGCTTGTCTTAAAAGACATATTATAGGTGGGAAAAAGTCCCCTGTCACAGATAAATGAGCCTGAAAAATATCCAATACAATGAAAGTAAGAAACAAGAGAGTTAAATGCCATTTTTACTGTAACAACCACATTTAGCTTTCCTTTCTTATCCCACTTGAAAAGGAAAACTAAGATTGTAAATCATTTGTAGTAACTGATGAATTCCAGGACAAACGTAAGTCATTCAAATTAGGTTTATAGTTGGTTCATTAGTTACAGCCATCAAATGGAAATTTAAACACACATTTTGATGGCAGTCACGTTGCTAAGATTATAAGAACATGTCACAATGAAATTATCACCACAAAAAAGTCATATTCTTACAACAAATGGATCGGGTGCCGCTACAACCTCCGAGACTTGCACAGTCACCATATTCATAAGACCAATGGCAGGAAGTTTAAGTACATAAAGTAGAATGGCCTCCAATAATGCTCACACAAACTTTCATGAAACTCCATCAGTTATTTACACAAATATTATGATACAAACCTGTCTTCCCTTGAAAGTTACAAAGTTCTGAGAAGAACTTATGATCGCCACTTTCCTTCAAATGCTTCCCTCTATAAAGTGAAGCTAACAGCAACTATAAATTAATAATTAATAATAATTCAGTACTACATAATTCCATTTATATATATTGCATCCACACTAAATTTGCCAGCTGTAATGTCTGAAGTTTTGTGTGTGTGTAAACCTCAAGAAAAAAATATGTTTTGAAGATCTACGACTGCACAAAATTACAGAGCTGCATCCCATGGCATGAGTCTCATTCCCATCTCCTAATTCGACAAAGCTGCCATGTTGACAATATCAGATAGTAAGAAATGAAAAAGCACAAAGATGGGATGAATACTAGTAGCTTGATGTTCATATAAAGTTTCATAAATTGGTTCAAAGGTCATTAGTAGAGGCAGATACAAAGACACAATTTCTTTATAAAAACAGAATGTAAGTAAAAAAAATTCTTACAATTGTCTACATTACAAAATACTGTAATCAAAACCCAATATTCATTAAATTAGTACAGCAAGAGTAAAATATCAAGGAACATATAATGACTAACTTAACAGAACAGGATCTTTTTTGAGCACCTCATACTTAGGGTGGTCAAAGAAATTCCTAGATTCAGGAAACCTGAAGGTTCATCATAGTGTTAAAGAAGGCAAGATACATACTTTAATTACATTAATTATTATTGGCTGGCCTGAAGCTTTCCTCATGATCGATGACAGTTTTCCTCGTTTGCTGGTTGTAATATGGTTACCATTGAGTTCGTCCAAAACATCACCGACTTCAATCTTGTCCTGCAAAACCAGAACAATTTCCATTAGAATATTTACACTTCATTAACATACTGTGAAATGTATTATATGTAACTTTCATGGTGTGACTGAGTGCCCATGAAGACTTCACTGAATATTATGAAACTTTGCGTCTAAATCTGTTATTGCAGCATTACCTACGATTTACAGCCTAGTATCTGAATAGATCATTATACAGACTGTCTTTAGGAGAGCATCAAAACAAAAAAGCAGAAAAGCCATCAATTTGGTTATCATGGCACTTCATATATATATATATATCAACATTTCATTACATTGCTTTCAAACACAATGGAAAGAACTACTTGAAAATCATTAACACTTACATCCTCAGCTGCAACACTGTCACTCTTGATCCCTACAATCACAGCCTTTCCACTGACAAAACTGAAACAAAATGACAATAACTAAGCACAGAAAATCTATGAGAAGTAGCACATAGAATTAATTTCTCACATGTATATTATCACCATTCACCTAATTTTAAAAAAATGACATAATAGGAGGATAGAGAAAATAACACAAGGAGCTCCATACGTTTTTCTCTTCACTACAAACAGCGAACACGAAAAGCACATGAAATTATATTTCATAAATCTCAAAGGCGACTTAGGCATTGCTGGGAGAATAATAATAAAAGTAATCTCACAGAAACACGATATGAGAGTGTGGACTGAATTCAAGTCACAGGATGAGCCTTTGTTAAGATGGTGACAAATAACCGAATTCCATATCAGCTGGGAAATTCTCAATCGACAGGACTAGAACTTTTCAAGGAGGATCCTGAATCATTGAATTATTTAAAACAGGTATTTTAGTTGAAAGTGTGACATATCATCTGGTAATTGTTAGAATAGGTTCCTGTCCATTCTCAATTAAAACAGACAGTAAATTAATCATTCTTTCTAGCATTACTTGAAAACCAAAAAGAATGTCTCTGTAAAAAGGTATAAATAATTTTAAGGGAAATTAAAAAAACATAATAACATGTCCTTAAATTCAATGCATAAGATCT